ACGTAATAGTAGACTACTCTACGTACTCTCTCTAACGTACATCTCGCACTGTAGGACGTATACTCTCTAATAACTAATACTTATGTACGTATAGTAGAGTATCTCCTCTCTCTCTCTCTCTCTCTCTCTCTCTCTCTCAGCATCACTATCCCCTTGAAAAATAAATATTCTTGTGTAAACTAGTGAAGACTCTCTCTCTCTCTAAGCATCAGCATGAAGGACTATCTCCTTGAAAATACAAATTCTTGCGTAAACTAGTGAAGACTCTCTCAAAGCATCAGCATGAAGGACTACCTCCTTGGTAAATACAAATTCTACTGTAAACTAATGAAGACTCTCTCTCACACACACATTTTTGGGGGTAAATTTCGGAAAGGCTCTTTATGGAGTTAAGTGCGGGAGACTCGAGAGTTTCTCTGTATGCATTTGTTTTGCCATTTCTATGTTTCCCAAACTGACTTTTCAATCTTCCTATTGATGCAGTTTCATACAATGAAATTAGGCAATTGTCCTTGGAAATTCCCTTATTTTCCTATTGATCTGAGACATTCTGGAATCTAGACCTTCCAATCCAACTGAGTCTCACACTACTGAAGACTGGTTATGGAAATGCAAAATATTCACTGAAAAGATCTAATAAAGAGACTCATTATTGAAGAGTGGTTAGGGAAATGCAAAATATTCACTGAAAAGATCTAATAATGAAAACATAGCAAAACTAAGATAAAGCGTTTAAATTAATACACTTCTTGGGTAGAATCAATTTATCATCATCATAGCCTTTTTCCAATTAATTGGAATTGGCTACATGAATCCTAGTTCGTCATTCAGGATTCATGATAAGTTTTGATAAAATTTTATGTTGGCTAACACAACCCAGCCTCTTGACCCAGGTATGGGATGGCTTAAGGGAACGTTTAAGGTCATCCCCATTCTTAGACCAGGCTAGAATCACTTGCAATTACAAAATCAATCTACTTTTCTTATTCATGAAGCAGAGTTAACCTGCTGATCACCAAGTAGAATAAAGTCAGCTAAATCGGACAATATCAAGAAATGAATTGATCTTTATTAAAATCTCAAATCAAGCAGCTAATGTCGAAGGATTGGAACGTTTGCACAAATCATTCATTCTTTTGCACGTATGATGTCTAACCGGCTCCAATTGACTGTGTCCAACAAATCTGATTTGACATAGTTAGACAGAGGCCTGTCGTGGTCTATTATCTTCATAAACTGTAGAAATAAGAGATACATCAAATTATTATCAGTTTATCATCGTAGGCATGCATATGAGTCTGGAGGGAGAGAGAGATTTATGCCAGTGCATCCTAAGGGGAAATGACAACCTGAGAAGCCTTCAGCTCAAGTTCTTCCCACTCTGAGGATGGTTCAGCACCTTTTACTATCCCAGCTCCTGCATAAATTAATGCACCAAGACCCTAAAAATGAAATTGAAGAGTGACACATTAGAATCACAAACATTACAATTTCACTCTCGATATCACATTTAAATCATTGGTGAAAGAGCTGAACTTACCTTCTCTATCAAAGCTGATCTGATACCAACGGCAAACTCACTTTCTCTTCCTCCAAACCAACCAACGGGACCAGCATACATTCCCCTATCAAACATTTCTGGCCCAACCATAGCATAGAAAGGTTGAGAAGAGGAAAATTTTAGCAGCAAACCTTAGCCATTTTGACAAGAAATTTTAGAGGTTATCAACTGCCATTTCACTAGAGGAATCATAAGCAAATGCCGAGGATATGTAATTTTAAATGGAAAATTTTCCTCATCAGCAAGTATAATTTATAATGATTTTTACCAGTGAGCAAAACCAGCACAAGTATAGTTGGAAGAAAAATCACAAGGGAACCATTATCACTATAACTTATCACAGTGTTCCTAAATCAAAAAACATGACATAATTAATTCTATAATCATAGGACTACTGACGCATGAATACAAACGACTAAGTACCACGCATCTGACTTTTCATTAGCATGTATATGTTCCTAAATTCGAGGGGAACCATAATCACCATATATATAAGCTACTAACTTTCAATAATGTTGAATGGATAAATGAAGATGATAAAATCAATTATATAATCATAAGCTATTCAAACATGAACAGCAATACAAGAGCACCACGTTTCTCATTTCTTTAGCATGTAGGTTGAGAGTCATCAACAAATCTGACACACGCCGGAGGAGCTGGGATTGCAAGGTGCAGCAAAGGGCTGCAGAATAGTGAGTCATTTAGGGATTTGATTGAAATATGAAGATAAAGAGTAGCTTGGGAACTTAAATATAAGTTAGATAGATTGTGAATAGCTTTAAGGAAGTGGATTTAGGATATTGTCAAATTAATTTTCGACATCTATACAGAGAGACTTTAAGTTGATTGCTAAAAACCTGATTAGGTTGTCTAGGAAACTTAGGGCTAGGGACAAGTTTTGTTTCTTAAATATTCTTGTATAATTATTTTGGTTGTAGGAGTATTTGCATCTATGCAAATATATGTTATTTCAAAATAATATATTTCGAAACCATAGTAGCAAGACAAGAAGGGATAGAATTCGAAATGAATACGTTCAGAAAATTTAGGTGTGGCGCCAATAGGTGATAAGATGAGAGAGAGTAGACTTAAGTGGGTTGGTCATGTGTGGTGCAAACCCAATACAATACTTGTTAGGAGGTATGAGCTAGTTCAAGTGAAGGGCTCAAAAAGATCAAGAAGTAGGCCCAAAAGGACATGGTTGGAAGTAGTGAAAAAAGATATGGGGACTCATGATCTCACTAAAAGTATAACCCTTAATAGACTAGAATGGCGGGTCAGGATTCATGTAGCCAACCTCAATTAGTTGAGAAAAGGTTTTGACGATGATGATGATAATCTTTGGAAACCATAGTTTTATGAAAAGTTGTTTCATAGAGAAAGAGGTAAACCTTTTATCCCACATTTAAGAATTAGAATGAGAAAGCCAAAAGCATATATAGAAGAACATCATCCACCCTTACGTTCATGGAGCTAAAGGGAGAGAGGGCCTAGAGCATGCAAAGTATGAGCACGTACATGAGTGCCAGGATGCTTGAGGCGCATTTTGCACTTTGCACTTCATATACTCGCATGCCTTGAACCCATGTTGGTCATGTTTGAGTTTTGTCATCTTTTGTTGTGGTCACAATGTTTGTCTAAATGCCGGAGAGGTGACTATTGCACAAGCAAATCGAGTAACCGAAGCAACCTTAGCTAGAAGGTTGAGTCACCAAGGAGTACAGCTCGGATGACCACACTCAAAGAACTTTTGTGCTCTGTCTTAAGCAAAGAAGGCCAGTAATGTGTTTTTTGGTAGCAAGAAAAACAAACTGCATTGATAGAGCATTATTTTTTATGGCCAATGTTTGACAAAATTGCCAGATGTCTTGATCGCAAAAAGTCAGCACAATGCCATTTAGTAGCATGAATAGTATTATAATGACCGAAGGCACTGTAACAGCGGCAAGGAACTCTTGACCACAGCCAAACACTTTGAGTACGAACGTTCATTTTGCTATGGACAGGCCAAATGCGAACAAAAGATCAAAGATTGATTTCACAACTCTTCAACTTTCAGTTGCAATAACCGACCATTCTCCAAGAAGTTGAAAGGGCACTCTCTCTTCTATATATTAACTCAAACTTCTCATTCATGCGTGTCAATTTTCGGACTATCAATGCTCTGTTTCTATTAATAAAGGCTACTCTGGTGCTCTATAGATCTTCTTGTTCTTGTGCACTTAAACATGTAATATAAGTACTTGATCTTCTATTTTGTTGTATCCCGAGGACAAACTTGCATGGAGAATCTTTATGCATGCTAATTTTTATCAGTTGGGAGCAAATATTGTCTTCAAAAAATGTATTGTTTATTCCTTGAGATAGGAAGATCTTTCCACCTTGAAACCAGTAACCAAGTATTTGTTCAATTGTTTGTTCACTGCCTTGTTTCACCCATCAATTTCCAACAGGTTTAAGACAATGCAGGGTGTTTTTCTGTGTGATCTCCACATCTATGGTCTTCTCTTGCGCAACATAATTTTCTCTCTCTAACATCTTTGTGTGTGGTTATGTGTGCGATGTTGATCATCGTGTGAGTGAAACACCATTGCCATTACAGACTAAACTGAAGAGTATATATACAATATTCAAAAAAAGAGACAACAAAAATGCATAAAAAATATGAGAGAAATACCTGTTGTTGCTATTACATTTTTTGCCTCTTCAGTGGGATATCCACAAACAGCCGGACTAGGGTGGAAAGAGGACAAGACAAGAAACTGAGAGGGAAAAAGTTACAAGATGTTATCACATTTCAACCCTAGGAAGTTTAAACTGATAGTTGTTTCATATAACACATTAGCAACAAAGAAGAGAGAGGCATGCTGAAATTTCTCAAGCAAAGACCTATCTTGTACTCTTTCTTTTTTTTGAAACTGTTCAGCTATCTTTAACTATTACTACTAAAACAGTGCTACTATTACCTAGTTTCTTAATACAACTATGGCCACAAGTTTTGATTGGAGTGCCCATCAAATGCATTTTATTTTTATAGATTTTTGTAAATTATACAAACAACCACTATGCCTGTACATTTTATAAGAAATAAGGCTCATACCTCATCATCTGCACTTCTTAATTGGCCAGACATACGGGCATACAAATGTTGTACTCTAGGTAGTTTCAGAATTGCTTTCTTGGGGTCTATCATGACTTCATCACATATAAGCTGCAAAGATTGATCATTTTTAGTGAAGCCAATAGTATTTGGAATAAAAGGATGACCCTAATGTATAATAGCGTCCTTAAGTATTTTTAGTAAAAACGGCCAGAATAATTAAGGAATCACTGATCACATTTAGCAAACATAGCCAGAATAAGCAAGAAAGAGATCCCCCAACTTAAAGAATTGAGCCAAAGACATCAGAATCCTAGCAACTAGAATGTGGGACATAACGTATGCATTCCTATTGCATTTGTGAACAAAGATATAACAAGAAAACATTTGCCTCTTTTTATTTTGCTATTTCAGGAAGCAGTTGAAATCAATCCCAATACCTCCATCTTTCTTGTAATGCTTTCTCTCACTATTGAAAACTCGAGCTGGTCTTTGGAACTGCAATGTTATGGAGTATGCAAATTAGACCAACATTCATTAAATTTATTTATACCATCAGCCCAATCTAATATGCATTCAAGGGTAGAAAGGTAACCAAGCACATCCCTTGGATTAACCAAATTAAGGATACACACCATGCAGATCATGGAAATAATAAGTAAACGAGTATCAGTGCAGGAAAATCATATTAAACCTTAGAAGTAACTCATGCTCAATTTGAAGGTCCTCCCCCACGGTTTTACCCCTAGCTCGTGTTCCGGCTATAGCTTCAGTGAAGACAGTAAGGTTTTTCCTGTGAAATAATTGCTCTGGCTATCACGAGGCATACATAGAACATGAATATTAATTAGCTAAAACAGCCCCTATAATGAAAATTTTCATATTTTACATATATACCTTTCAAAGTAATAATTTGTGGCAGGAAATTAGATATAACAAAATCTATATTCCGCCTTAATGCCAAATTCGGTTCAGCATTGACCTCATTGAGTAATATTATTATTTTTTCTCTTGATCAGGGTGGTGGTTGAAGGTGGGAGAAACAATATGAGAACGTGATGGTCATATCACAAGCATATGAAAATTATGCATAACATACAACTACTCCATTGCAAATATGAAAAATGTCAGAATATGCCATGCCTGAATCAACTTACAGTGTTTTTCTTGGGTAAGTAAAACATAGGAATAAGCATGTATGGGATAAAATCTTCATCAACTTACAGTGTTGCCAATGAATGCTGGTGAGTTGTGAGGTCGAATAAAAAATTGGTATGCATTTTCGCCTTCTCCCTATTTGCAATTAGGTGAATGAGAAACTTTATAATCGGAATAATGAAGATGCTACCACAGTGAAATAACAAAGAGGAAGCGAAAAATTACCTGTAGGCTAGCTAACAATGCTATAGGGTCAATATCAGCATCTGTGACAATTCTACTACTTCGTGCCAACACAACCTAAACCATCATACTGAAGAGATTTTAGTTTATTTCTTGTTTAATAATCGCCATGGCTATCCTAATCAAATTTCCCCCCAAAAGAAAAAACAAGTACATGTGCAATCGAATTTATTCTCATATTGCATTTGTGAATCTTTCTTACTCTCATATTGCATTTGGAAAACTGAAGTCAGAAGAACAAGATCCAGCTCCCTTATCAAAAATTTGAAAGCAATAAGTTGCAACATTGACTTCCGAAACTTAAAAGTGATGTACCTTAAGTATGCCAGAGCCTTTAGAGCCCTCATTTATCATCTTTAGAGCTTTCCTTACAGCGACATTCCAAGATGCCTTGTCTGGCATATGGTTTTTACTAAGAACATTTGTTCTGGAAACTTTGCCTTGGAATTTTGTGACATTAGATGAGATCTGTATAATATGAAGCATGTGAATATGACCACCTAGTGAGTCCAGATGCATCCTTGATAACAGAACAGATTTTTAAAAAAGAGAAAAAAAAAGAAATCCAAATCCAAACCTTACTCATCGTTTTATGAAGCGAATCTATAGCTTTTCCCCATGGCCATCGAAGAGTGTTGTCCCAAGCAATATTTGTGGCAAGCATTGAACTTCCTTGGAGCTCATCAAGCTCAACCTGTTACTAGTTTGAAACAACAGCTTACTGTATTTGGTTATACATTGATGAAAACTTAAAAGGAAATTTCAAAGTAGCCCAAATTACAAAATAGTGATGACAATATAAGGAATCATGACACAGAATGCCACTCAGCCACAAAACAAAAATAACCAATTTACCTGAGGAATGACAAAATAGTACGAACCAAAACTTCGCCACTCAAAAGACATGTCTTTCATTGAATCAAATCGTATAGCTCCATATGCTCTAATGAAAGGGCAATCCTTAGAAAGGAACCTTCACTAGCAAAATTAGAGACAATCTGTCATGTCAATACAGTATCAATGCCACTTAAGATATGTGAATGGACAAAAATACTATATTCTACATTCTGCATAACAAAAACAACATGCTACTATTGCAAAGAGTTGAAGAAGTAGCATGATAGAGACAAGATTGTAACAGACCATCATAATCACAAGGCCGCAATATTTTTGGTGCAATGGCTAAAGAAAACTACAAACATAAAAATAAAACCAAAAGAGTGATTATATTTCATGATTGTCAGTGAAACTAACCCATCAATATATTAACAATTGGAAAAGCACACTTTTATTGCAGGGCTGAAAACAGCAACCACGATGAATTTTCAGAGTACCTAATATCCATAGTAATGATACAAAACAGAAATAAAATCACTCAGGATTGAGCACAACAAATTCAAATAACAAACAATGAGTGCTGTCTCGTGAATCTCAAGCAGCCAAAGCAGCAACTTCTTTTCCTTCATATAAATCAATCCAACTATCATTGAAGTATGACTTACCCCTCCAAAACCACCCCCCTTCCCCCCCCCCCCACCACAAAAACAAACCAAAAAAAAAAGACAACAAGTAAGATTTACCCCCCAAAAAAAATAAGATTATTAAGTAGGACAAAGATGGAAAACAATTCATGACACTTGCTCACCTCTTTATGCACCTCCAATCTTCAAAAGCAAATGGACTGGATTGCTGAAAGAAAACAGCAGACCCTATCCCCGCAATGCTCACAATACTTTTCTCAGATTCAAATTCTTCATTGTTTACATAAAAGAGATCTGATCCACCATTAGAACTCCTTTGATTCCTACTGGAAAAGTAACAAGAAGAAAGGAGACATTGAGAATGGAGCCAGCCAATAGCTTGTATCTCTTGTTGAATTGGAACCTGCATTCAATGACAAATACAAATTTTATGAAGGTCCTGCTGCATTAGAAACTAAGAATTGAACATTAATGATGTTAACTAACATAAAGAGTATCAGCTCTCCAAGGGCCTTATTCCTCTAGTTCCCACTCTATAGACACACTCACACACATTTGAGGTTTTCCAATACCGAATGGAGGGCTTAATTTTGTCCTTATTTGTATTTTTTCTCTTGAATGGATATGTTGGTGATCGAAGTTGAAAAACAAGACTGTAATCACAATGGCAAGAAGCTAAACACCAACTTAAATTGTAAGTAGAATTCAAGGAAAATAAAAAGGAGATATATAAGAAGATGGATCCTATACAATGAGCACATTTTAAGTACATTTACTGCAATTCTTTTATCGCTATCAACATCTGACAAACAACTGAGATGTTGAAGTACTACAGGAAATTTTAGTTCACCAATCAAATACATTTCCATGGAAGAAAGTTAAGATTAAGAAATTCAGAAGAAAATAAAAATACTTTTAAAGCAAAAATAGTGCATAATTGAATTATTGTCTAAATCCAGTGGCAAAGTTGCCAAATAAAATCATGTTACTCATTTAAAAGTTCTCTTTTATGTTTTATCTCAAGCCTGACTATTAAAGAGAAAAGACAGTATGTGGTGAATAAGAAATAGGAGCAGGTCAAAGAAAGAAGTTTAAAGATAAATTAAGAAAGGGCTTTAGTATGCTGATTATACTTAGTTTCTTGCCAAAACAAAAATTTCTGGGGAAAATATCATTGAAGGGCTAAACTTATCTTACAGTATCATTAAAGGGAAGGATCTCATTTGTAAGTGCAGGGTTTATACTTTAGATCTCATTTCTCAAAAGTACCTCCTCCATAAAATTGTTAAATTTCCCAAATTATTCCCATTAAGGGATTGGAAACCCTAAACAGGGGTATTTTATAATTAGCCACATTAATTTTGGTTATTCAAGGTTAGGAGTATGGAACTAGCAAATGACAAAAATACCCCTGGTTCCACATTGTTATCCTTGAACAACGAAGGGTATTCTAATCATTTTATAGTTTCATTTTCCCAAAACTGAACACTAGAGGTACTTTTGCAACTTAGATTGAGTGATTTAATTGAAAATTTGTCAAAATGTACCTGGTTGCTCAGGATTCTTAACCTCAAGCAAGTGTAATTATGAAACTTTTGAACAATTTTTTTGTAGAGATGCTTTTAGCAAATGAAATTTAAAAAGTAATAAATGGGATCTTTTGATTATTTGATTTTGTAAGATAATTTACACCCTTCAATGATATTGTACCTAATCTCTACAAGAGAATCAAGTAATAAAAAATTTGAGGAAACTAAAAAAAAAAAAAGAGATAGAAAGTAAAAAACCTAAAGACAGCATTAATGACCTAAAAATGAAATAAAAAATTTTACTTTTTAAAAAAACCTTCTATTTAAGTACCTCCTCAAGAATTTTATCAAAAAACAGCCAAATTGCCATTGTTCCAGGTTTGTAGCCCATAACAAGTGTTAGTAATTTAGCCCACTTAATTCACTTGAGCTAAATAAGCTAAATACCATTTGCTTGTCCTGCCTGCATTTTTTTTTTTTTTTAAATCTTGTTTCAGATTTGGAACTTAAAACAAGAGAGGCATTTTGGTGATTTGGCGCACTTAAGTTAATCGAGTCAAATGACATAAATATTGTTTATTCTAGGTTTAAAACATTAATCGAGCAAAGGTGCTTAGGTCATTTGGCTTGAGTAAATTAAGTGGCCAAAGTATCCAAATGCCCTCACCTGTATAAGTCCCAAAAGTGAAACAAGGCCAGCTTAATCAATTTTTTAAAAAATAATTAAAAAGGTACCTAAGTAGAATGAATTTTAAAAAGCAACCTTTATTTGTAAATTAGATTTAACCACCCCATTGATTTTTTTTCAATTGGTTTGACATTTTAATGATAGTCATGTTAATTAAACAAAATATGTTAATATTTCTGTTAACTAAACAAAATATTTTAAAATCATCAAATCTCGCAGCAAGAGCAGCACACATGCCATTGGTTCATTTAACAATATAGTATTCCATCATTTTTAACCGGCAAGAGCCAACCTAATCTTACACAATAAAAAAAAAAAAGCGAAAAAGAAGAAAAGGGAAATTCTCTTATATATGTGGTCAAGTGTGGAAATATTTTTACATCAATTGGTTATCAATTGACGTGAAAACATGCACTAAGGCTCGAATGATGATGATGATGATGATGGGGTATTTTGAAAAAGGGTTGTATACTATGAGACCAAGAATCGTGTAACCGACGCAAATAGTTGAGATACGGCTCGAAAGATGAAGATGATGATGATGATGATGATGATGATGATGATGGGGGTATTTTGAAAAAGGGGTTGTATAATGAGACCAAGAATCGTGTAGCCGACGCAAATAGTTGAGATACGGCTCGAAAGATGAAGATGATGATGATGTAGGTATTTTAAAAAAGCGATTGTATAGTAAGAGACCATTTATCGTTATTACAAGGTCACAACCACTCCCTTCCATTAGATTTCAAATTGAATGGCTACGGGTGTGTCATGAAGTTCAAGAAAAAAAAATTGAACTTTGAGTATAGTCAACAGCACACTTACAACCTCCTGAGTTAAAATCTGACGGACAAGAGTGATTGTGGCTAAGGGTGGCAAAGGGCCAGGTCGCCTGCTCCGGACTTGCAAAATTAGGGCCTAAGCCACAAAATGTGACCCAAGCGCCGTCTCGGCCTGGCCCTTAATTTCCTTTGTTCTTTTCAGAGTTTTACTAGCCTAGCCCTGACCCGGCCCTGATAGAGCTAGGCTTGTCCTTGGCCAGGGCCTCCTTGGCCCAATCACCTTAGCCCAATCCAAGCTAGCCCGAGCCTGCCCCATATCCAACCCGTTGCCAGCCCTACTCATGACTTACTTGTATTAAAATATATGGCCTTTTTATATACTTCCCCTATAAAAATTTTTTCCAAATAATGATATGAAAGGTTGAAATAGGAGAGAACGTCTTTAAAAATGTCCAAACCACTCAAAAACTGGTTATAGGTGGTTAAAGATCAAACCTCTTTAGCTCATTTGTTTTCTAGACCTGTAAACTTAAAGAAATGACATTAATTTTGACCATTTTTTCAACCTAAGTAACCAAAAATACATTTTATTGGTGCGGACTTTTAAATATAGAATATTTTTTAATTAAAATCTCTTTATCTAAATTAGGGATTTAAATGGGCTGAGCTAGGCGGGGTTCGGCCCATTAATATGACCCATTCGGCAGATTTTAAAACATCTAAATTTTTTCATAAATGTAAATTTGATATAACAAATTCTTAGGTTGACTTGAAAATCTATTTTCATCTCAAATTATAAAATTTTAAACTCTAAAAATTGTTCAAATAAAGTAGATCTATAAACACATGAAAATTTTGAAAATGGACGGTTTAGATAATGTGTTGCAAGATACACTATTTCGTGGACTCGAAATCTTTTTTTCTTTGCATATTCATACATCTCAATGTCAAGATGATCAATTAGAGGAGTTTTCCAACATCTAAATAACTTTTTAGGATTGATTTTTAAGGTGCATCTTTAAATCTAGGGAAAAGTTTATATAGAGCTTAGGCTCTAAACAATCAAATTAGAGCCTACCTCAAACCTTTCACTAGAAGAGGTTGTTTTGATGCCCAAATATCATTAAATTGATCATCTCGACAATAAGATGCATGGACATGAGAAAAAAATGGATTTCAAATTTTAAAAATAGTGCATCTTGTAACTCATTTTTGGACCGTCAATTTTCAAGATTTTCAAGTTTTCATAGATCGGCTCGACTTACACTATTTTTGAAGCTTTAAATTTTATAACTAAAGATGAAAATATGATTTAAGGCTATCACAAAATTTTCAGTATTGAAACCATATTTTTTATCGTCATATTTTTTTCTTTTCTTTTTTTGCCCCTTTTTTTATCATCATATTTTTTTTTTTTTTTTTTTTGCCCTTTATTAGATTTCAAACCGTGAAATTTGTCGTTTAACAGATAAAGATGACTAATAGTTCTAATTAATATGATCCTTAATACACCTAAATGAATAGGGCTTAAAGTTAAGTACTTTATCTTTAATAGTTTACGAGTATGGGTCAGGTATAGTGTTCGGGTACAAGTTTTAGACCCGAACCCGACTCACTGGGTCCAAATGCTAGACCCATACCCGACCCGTGTTGGGTATACCCATTGGGTCCCGGGTAGGGTCAGGTCTGGGGCCATTGCCACCCCTAGATACTATATCCCATTTTTTAATAAACATTTCTTTTTTACTAATGTTATTTTGTTAAGCCGAAAGACATTCTACTATTGAGGAGTAGAATGTTCATTTACTCCTTCGAGGAAAACCTAGAATTAATTTTAGGAGCCCAAAATTTTTTCAACCCATAGATTAATCTAAATAAAAATAAAAAAATTCCTAATTGTACCCCTCATATGCTAAAAAAAAAAATGTCACTAGGACCATCCAAGTTTTAGTTGATGAGATCAAACTGTTAGCAAATTCAAAAATATTTCTTTGTTTTTGTCTGAGAATAATAATCTAACAACTATAAGTAGTTCCCAAAATGTCATATTAAAAAATTTCTCCCAAGGTCGCCTCACAGTCTGAAAGAGGAAATACTGTAAAAGTAAACTATGATTCCGAGGGAGCATGGTATACATGCTCTTTTTCGTAATGTAAAATGGATTTTTCCTTACCTCTAACCGGATAATGCCTGAATTTTGAGATGGAGGATTTGATTCAAGCTCTGAAATTGCCTTATTCATCTCCAACAATGCATTTTCCGGCGAAGAAACTGCCGGAGAAGTAAGAGTCCGGCAAAAATCCACCGGAAATTTACAATCGGAACCTGAAGCTTTCGAGCCATTCATAGCCAAAGAGCAACACGGAGGCCTCTGTGAAACCAAAAAAAAAGGAACAAATAAATCATTAAATAGGAACATTGGTAGTATCAAGCAAAAAAATAAAAGAAAAAAGTGAAGAAATTACAACAAGCTTGACTCAAAATCATAGGAAAATACGGAGAAAATAAGAAAAATTTTTGCAGAAAATAAGAATTTTATTCAATAGATAAAAAGGCAAATTTATTAAAAATTAATCTTAGAAAATTGCTACAAATAAATTAGAAAAATACAGAAAACTCGGAAAAATAAGAATAATGTTTGCAGCAAATAATGTCACTGGAAAAATGAAAATTCAAGCAAATGTGACATCTACAAAAATACTGACATAATATTTTAATAATTTTAAAAGTACCACAAATGTAAAAGTTGTCCTCGAAATGAAGAAATACTTAAAAAAGGAAAAAAAAAAAGGAAAAAAGGAAAAAAAATAAGAACTGATTTTTCAACCAACATTATCAGCAGAATTTGAAATTTCAAGCAAAAGTTAGACCTAAATTAAAAAAAGAAAGACTTAACGAAACGATTATTGGAAAACAGAGAAAATTTATACAAGAAAACAGAGAAAATCGACGCAAAAAATATAAATAGATGGAAAAAAAACTCGAAAAAAATTACAGCAAAAGGAACAGTGGCCTTACTCTTTGAGTTCGCAGAGCAGTTAAACCACTCGGGCATGGAGCATAAGAGAGACGAACCGCCATTTCCGAAATTTCGGCACCAAAACTGAAAGTTTCGGTACCTGCAAGAAAGCCGAGAATTTTTGCCGGGAAAATGGAAAAATTGAGTGCAAAAGTTTTGAGATAAGAGGATTGCGGATTTATGATCACCTCTTTGGGATAGTACCCTCAATTCGTAGCTAAATTACATAATCACCCCCTCAGGTAATAATGGTAGGTTTTTACTTTGGGATGGGAAACCACAAGACCATTTTTTTTTTTTTCGTTTTTGCATTTAAAAGTCACAATTATTTTTAGCCTTCGGATGTGAAAACCAATAACTATAAGCACGTCACATATAGTTTGAAAAAAAAATTGTAATTTTTGCTTAATCTTATCCAAAGTTATCCAATTTTAATACAATGGTCAATAATGATTGTGACCCTTGTTACAAAAATAAATGATCTTATTGTATTTTTTCCTTTTAATATTTAGAAATCAAGCTTCGACCCAAAATCTCAAGTCCGGTTCCAACCACTAAAATGCCTAAAAAGAGGGATGTGATTTGCATGAGTTGTTAACAGTAAATAATCCAAATAAATCGCAGCTCCATACCTTGTTGAAAGGTGTAATTTTTGTGTATGAAATGTTAAAAGCAACTTGAAAATATATTTCAGATCTAATTATGAAATTCAAAATTAAAAGAAATGATGTGAGTAGATCACAAACACTTGAAAGAGATAATTGAAATAATGTATTACACAAGATGTATCATTTTTAGTACTTAACTTTCTTTTTCTTTTTTTCCATATCCATGTATCTCAAGGTAGAGATATGGTTATTTCAAATGTTTTAAACATCCAAACAATGTTTTTCAGGTTTTTTATGTGTGCATTACTTCTACTGTATAAGGTCGACATATTATATAAAATTTTTCTAGAATGGATGTGTTCAACAATGGTGAATATGAATATAAAAAGAAAATAAATTATAAAAATAAAAATTTATATTTTTTATATATCTTTACACCATTCATTTTAAGTTTTTGTGGGACCATAAGTTTTCCACATCCATAGTTAAAATGGATGTTGGATGAGTGAGGGGATGTTGATGTGGAAGTGTGTCCATGGTCACATGAAATAATTTTCTTTTAATTTAAATTGGTATAATTATTTTTTAGAACAAAATATTCATGACTAAAATCCTAAAAAATATTATAAAAATGTCATAATTAGGAAATGCTTTAAAAATAGTTGAAAAATCTTATCATTTTTAATGCAATTAAAAATATGACAAGCATTATACATTAGAGTTTTGTGTAATGTACGTAACATAAGTTGGTTGAGATTTGTGTAAAGTAGAGATGCTAAGTTCCTCGGTAAGTGTCAAAATAATACGGATACGGCATATGTGTCTCACTTTTAAAACTAAAACTAAGATATTTTTGTTTGATTTCCTTATGATTTTATTATGAAATTCTTCTACATAAAATTTATACATTTCTCATTATCTCTATTTTGAATGGATGGTTGAGATTTCCTATTTTATTTTTAATTTTTTATATAATATTTTTGACAATAAATTTTGAGCATTCACTCGTCTATTAAACAATAAAATAAAATGATCAAAATACCTCATGACATTTTAAAAGATATTTTGGTCATTATATTTTATCAAAAATTATTTTAAATTTTTTTTAGATACAACCCATTGAGATGATGGCACATACCAAAATTTATATTAATATAATCTATATTAAAAACTAAAAATTAAATACTTTGATAATCAAACACTAGCTCACTTGATCTAAATTAGCCAACCGGATGGAAACGTGTATATTTTCTATGCGGTAACGGAAGTATAGAATATGCCTCCATAACATAGAGGCTAAATCTGAAAATCCAAAACATCTTATAGCCCATTTCGTAGTGGGAGTTTAAAAAGCGTGATCCTCTTATCCGCAATATCCAACCTTGTTATCCGTTAAAGCTTGAATCGCCCACGTAGTATGGTCCCAAGCGAGCATGTTGTACACTTGCTCCATCAGGTAAAAGACCTTGCTGGTGAACAACTAATGGGACAACAATTTTGGGATCTGCTGTAAAAATCACTATTTTTTTCTAAAATGAAGTTTTAGTCTCTCAACATTTGGATCTCATCGTCATAAATTTGGATGGTCTCCATTCAATCTCAAAATCATTTACATTAAATAAAGGAAGTATATACGATAAAACCATTTATCTTTGGAAATTTTTTATATAAGGGTGAGGTCCTAAACAATCAAATTAAGACACACCTCAAAAATTCACTAGAAGAGGTTGTTCCGATCCCCAAAAATCATGAAATCGATTATCTCAACCTCAAGATCTATGGATATGAAAAAAAATAGATTTCATGTCTTGGAAGTAGTGCATCTTCAAATGCATTTTTTGGACCGTTGATTTTCAAGTGTTCATAGATCTACTCGATCAACACTATTTTTTAAGCTTTAAATTTTATAATTAGATATCAAAATATATTTTGAGGCCTTCAAAAAGGTTTTCAGTACAGAAACATCTTCTTTCAATACTATTTGAAGGCATGCCTTATTTTGATTATGTAGGGCTTCATCCTTATATAAACCACGCCTTTTATCTTTTATAAAAGGAGGTCAAGGGGCTATTAGATTTGAAATCGTAAGATCAATAGTTTGTTGATTTGGCTCAAAGTTCATAAATAAATTTTCTAACTCCTTACATACTTTAAGTTGTGTCATTTGACATTTGGTAGCTAGGATTAGTTGTGACCTTCTTATTTTAAAAATGAATGGTCTTATAATATACAATTTTTTAAATAAAATATGTATAAAATGAGTATCAATTTTCTTTTCTTTCCTTTTCTTTTTTATTTTTTTGAAATTAATCCGTACGCTGGAGAAGCTACATCCCCCACGCTCCTAAAAATACTTCTTTTTATTTTTTATATTTTTGTTTATTTTTATTTTTATGTTTTTAACTTAAGGGAGAATATATGTCTTGGAACAAGTTGGAAAAAGTTTATATAACTGTCAACCTTACTATTGAAGTAAGGTGTACTACAAAAAAATCATCTAGAGGAGAGTTTTGCAATGTTGGAGAGCCCTCCAATTGATCATCTCGACATCGATAAGTGTGGATATGAAAAAAAAAGAATTTCAAGCTCTAAAAATAGATCGTCTTCTAAGAAGTTATCTAAGTGGTCTATTTTTAAGATTTTAAAGTATTTATAGATTTACTCAATTTTTATAACTTTAAAAATTGGAAAATTCATAATTAGGGATAAATTTTGATTTTTTATACACCATAAGGCTTGAACTACATCTCCAAATAAATTTCAGATATGCACCCTTACTTAGGAACAAGAAAACATAAAAGTCTAAATGGCATGTTTATTTTGGTATGACTTTTGTGAGGTGGGATACCCAGCCCTTAACAAATAGGGCCTTGGCCGTGAAAAGCGACCAAGGGCTGGCCAATGTCAGCCCTGTTCAGCCCTCTTTTTTCTTGCTTTTTTTTTTATTTATTGTTCATTTATTTGAGGTCCAACCGTTGTCCTTTCCCGGTCAAGCTGTATGGGGACAAGGAGGGCCAAGGTTGGCCCGGCCCACTGCCACCGTAGAAGCTACAAGAAAGAACATGTGGCTTCCACGATAATGTCATTTTGACATTATTTTGGAAAGCTGCTCCGTTCATCCATACGTTGTGAGAGGGGAAGCTTTGTCAATCCCCTCTTGCACAACCAAACACGCCAAGGAGTTTTCCTCGTGGAAGAGAAAGAGAGATTCTTTGCCAGAATGAAGATAAGAGAAAGAGAGTACCTAAAATTTATTGCTCAAGGGCTTCTGTGTGATGGGAAAGCACAGAACTTATATACACAACGAGAAGTATAGAAACCTTTCCCTAAACAATATGATGCGATTTCAAGCCATAACTCGTGAATCTCAATCACATAAGATGGTAAAATTAGCATACACAGATTTGCAAAGAAAAATGGGGCAAATCTAGCATACATTTATGTGAGTTCCGCATTATGGAGGGATCACAATGGGGGTTTTCGACTCCTCAACAGTAAATATCGCCTTCTCCTATTGGCCAAGGACTCCAGATCTCTCTCTCTCTCTCTAACCTGATGGAAATATCCAATTCAATCGAAGAGAATTAATTGTAGGACCTCCTCATAATTTAACATCAATAAATTATACTCTCTATACGCTTCAAAAAATAAAAAAAGTGTCCCAAGATTGAATAGAGAACAACCAATTTTAAAATGGCAAGATCAAGTGTTAGAAAACTCAAATTTCAGGTTCTTTTTTTTAAAATAATCATCTAGTATTTTTTAAATGGTTTCAAAAATTTCATATTAAAAAAATTATCCCAAGCCTTCTTAGTGAGGGAGTGGAAGTAAACTATGTACCCTTGAAGTAAACTATGTACCCGGGGAACATAGTATACTTGCTCATTTATCAAAATACCTAACTTTCAACTATTTCACATTTTATACTTTTTCTACTATTACAACTTAAAACCATGTATAATTTGTGGCCACTTTGAAATTAAATCCAAAACAAATATGGATAAAATGTTAAATATTTAATGCGTTAGGTATCATCAACGTCAAAACTTTTTTCCAACTAATTGAAAACTACTACACAAATCCTGATCCGCCATTGTGCTCTATTTAATACGATATTAGGTGTATTTTAACTAATTTCCCAATAAATACGGCGGCAAGCTCTAACTATGTGTCATTGTGTGAATGAGAGATATTTATCCGAGCATATTTCCTTCCGCATGACTATTTGAAGTACGATACCCGTAGAACCCAACATCCACTATCCATTCTTATGCGAAATTAGTGAAGACAAGTTAACTGTTCCCATTTGAAACAACTGCAGCCTTAAAAAGTCCAAAACAAATCATTTCCCACCGAAAGTTTAAAACAACTCAATTCCCACAATCCATGGATAAAGCCTCACATCGAAACCACCTCCCAAAAACTTGGCGCACAGAAAATCCTCCGATGACATATCAATTTTCACTATCAATTATGAAATTTGTAGCTCACAAAATAACTCAAATCTATGAATACTTAAAAATGAACATTTTAGATAATACGTTATGATAAAGGGGTTTCAACTTATCCTTTCCGGAGAATTAAATGGTCTTCTCAAACAGGTTTTTTATCTGGTAGATAACATCGAACCACCAAGACGGCTATTAACTTAAAAGTAAAGAGTAAATTAAAGAAATGACTTTAAATCTTTGTGCACTTACTCCTAATCCTAATCGAATAATTTGAGATTCAGAAGTGAAAGAAATTATTTTATCTACTAATAGTAACCAAATTGGTGTATTACCAAATCATGCACCTGTTGCAATGGTCATAAATATAGGTATTCTCAAAATACGCCTCCAAGAACAATACTTAACAATGACTTTGAACATTATTTTAGCCTTGAAATCCTTTTTTTTTTTTTTACAAAAGGTCCAAATGATTAATTTGATTGCTTTCCAACGCCAGAACTGCAATTTTACATGAGTTTTGAGGTGCCTTTACTTATTTCTGATAGGGCAGCAGCCTATCCAAACATTTTTCTAAACGAAAAGCCCCATATAGCCTCTACTAACTAAATCCACATAACCTCAAAAAAAAACAATCTCAGAATTAAAAACAAGAAATATAAAAAGAAATAAATAAAATGAGAGATGCTAAAGACAAGATAAAGCACCTCTTCAAAAAAACAATAGATTCGATTGAGCAACCTACATTTGTCTGGCTAAGGTACATTTCACAATGCATGCCAAGCATCACTGGATCAAAAAAGACATGCACCATTTCATTAATTTAAGAAAGAGAACAACGAACTTCAGGAGATCGAGAAAACCAGGGGAAAAAAATAAAAGCAAACGAAGTAGAGATAGAAAATTTAGTCGGTCTACTCGCTGTCAGATTCATTCCCAGAATCGATGTTTGTTGGAGCACTCTTGTAACCAGCCATTGCTTCCTTGTATCGTTTCGAATCAGCTCGGGCCATGGCCTCAAACGGCTCTTTCTCTTCACCTGTTCAAATTCAAAAGTAACCCACACGATCCAAATTGAGAATACTCTCTCCAACCTACTACACAATCAAAATCCCACTCCCTCCCTCTCTCTCTCAGCCTGTTTAAAATAACTCACAAAGCAAACCAGATGAGTCTCTCCTCTATGACTCTTCTCTCTCTCTCTCATACACAAAAGTGCAACCACCTATTCGAGATCACTTGCATTAAATAGAGAGATTATCGGAAACTCTCTCTCTCTCTCTCTCATGCACGCATGCGCACGTGCACACACACATGCGCATGCACACACAAATCCTGCATATGGATGAGGGTTAATCAAACGCTAGTTAAAGAAACAGACACATACTGGTCATCTTTTTCCACTTATCCCCAAGTGCCCTCCCAACATCTGTGAAAGACATGCCTGGGTTGTTCTTTTTCAAATTCTGCAACAACAAATCACCCATTAATGAATCAGAAGCACCAATACCTTCATGAGTAAATAGCATCAATTATCTCTTTTATGGATCTGTGGTAATTGGTCCCAAATGTACAATAACCAATGCATTAAGCAAACAAAGATAACAAGACATGGAAGTCATATGAATGAATATATGCCAACCAATGACATCTCTCTTCTTCTCTTTTTTTGAATGCGAATGACCTCTCTCATGTTCAAAAACTCTCTCCCTCTCCCTCTCTCTCACCCCGCCCCCACCACCCCCCAAAAAAAATAAAAAGAAAAAAGTAAAAGAAAAACACATGCCGACATGGAGAAAAGAGAAAATGATAAGAAACAAAAGGACTTACTTCTCTTTCACTTTGAGAGAAGAACATAAAGCCAGACATAGCTCTCTTAGGCGCATTAGGGTCCTTTTTCTTCTTTGGCTGCTTTCTCTTCTTTGAACCATCTTCGTCGCCATCCTTTTGTTTCCTCTTAACACTAGCAGCTTTAGGAACGGCATCCTTCTTCAGTTCCTTTTTGGGCTTCTATATTACAGACAATCACAGTGAGTAATGAGAATCCTCAATTCTTGAGAATCTCTAAGCAGGTTAATTTCTTGAGAGAATTTAAATTTTGAATTTTCATTAAAACATCTTGACAAAATATCCCGAAAAGAAAACAATTATAAAATAATCAGAAAATTTTGTTGAGATATGTAAAAGAAATATATATTTACCTCAATTAAATTTTTTAGAAACCACACATTTCTTTCTTGCATTTTTAGAAGCTATGCTTTTTTGTATGTGTTGGGCAGTTCTTATGTTTCTTGTACATGTGTATCCACATACGAGCGTATAAGTAACTTTTTCAAGAGAGAAATATCAAGCAACAAGCAATATAGTAATTTGCAATATGTTTCACATCCCTCGATATATTGACCATAGTTTAAGAAAATGGAAATATTGCTTATCTTGCAATTACCTTTTTCCATTTTTGTTTTTAACAGATACAGTTAATTTTTCACTATATTTTTCAGTATCCAAAATCCACTGTATTTGTACCTTGAGAAGCACATGAAAGAAAACATTAGTTCCAATTATGAGACAAACTTCATATTCAAATAACACATACCTCTTCATCTCCACTCACACTGGCATCTGATCCCTCTTCACCGGAGTCATCAGTGGGAGAACCCCCATCATCCTTGTCTGCAACAAAGTCCTCATCCTGCAATTAAATCAATCAAGAGAAACCCAAGTTGCATACCTCATTGAAGGCAACAAATGGAACTGCAAGGCACCTTCTTTATTTCGTTACTACCTCAATGCACTCATGTAAGTTCCTCTTGTTTGCAAGTCAAATGTATTAAGCTCTCTCTCTCTCTCTCTCTCTCTCTCTCACACACACACACACACACAAACACTGCACATGAAATTGCCACCAAACACCTCCAAATTTAGCTCGAGAGGCTGGCCTGAAGAACCTTGCTCAAAGCAAGGTCATGAGATCGGGGGTAATGAATTTCCACATTAACAGGAGCCTCTTATTGATTATATGCAGTAATATGTTGGCTATGGATGGGGAGCCTAGTGATAGGAGAGAGAGAGAGAGAGAGAGAGAGAGAGAGAGAACAGAATGAGAGAAACTTTTTGGATATTTTTCATACGAAAGCGAGAATGTGGGTGGATGGGATAAGGAGGCTAGTGGGAGGAGAGAGAATGAGGGGACACAGAGAGGAGAGAGAACACCTTAGGTCACTCCATTTTGCATTTTTCTCATGGGAAGATAACAAAGGGAGCCGTAGATCAAGAAAACAAGGAGCTAGTTCTACAGTCATTGAAAAGACAAATGTGAGGGAGCCGTAGATCAAGAAAACAAGGAGCTAGTTCTACAATTATTGAAAAGTCAAATGTGAGATCAAGGCATAGGAGACGGACGGACTTCATGCAACGGTTGTATAGTAATATGATGCAACAACCTTCAAAAACCATGTTAGGGCCATTTGTTTAATCCAAAATTTAAAATATACACTCTATTTATTCTAATGAACTCTCAAAAAAAGGAAAATGTTAAAAACACAACTTAGAAAGTATTTTTTTAGCCCAATTAATATAGGCCATCCATTTTGATAAGATGCTTAGATCTAGGCCTTAGAAGGTTTTTTCTTTTCCCATTTTTTAGAAGGCTTTATTATCATTAGATGAACAATGTTAAAAAAAGAAACAATAATTTTGAGTTTGTAAAGGCTAAGATCTTGAAATTCACCAAATGAATGGTCAAGATTCTTTGTTGGAGGGGACTCATTTTGACCATATCTAGGGTTCAAACTGAACTTTTTTTTTTTTAATTGATTATTGAAATGAAGATAGTGTGTGCAACATTTTGGGTCATACAAATACTACAAATATGGTTTTCTAGAAATGTGGTTGCATTATACTATAATACAATCGTTGCATTAGATCAATGCCCACATAT